CATCCATCCATCCATCCATCCATCCATCCATCCATCCATCCATCCATCCATTGATATCTTTTCGTAACTTGCAAAAGCGTCAAACGAAGATTTTGCTTTCGCGATAGGCGTACCTATTGTGATTGTGATTGCAAAGCCTTGAAGGAAAACGAGTCACTCAGCTGCTTACTTTATCGCTAACTTGCCATTGCGACACAAAGCAATATAGAGAACGTTGGAGGAGAAACGTTGCTGCACTACACATAGTTCTTCTAAGACTTTATGCTGAGCTAATGCTCTTGATTATAGCAGGCAATGATCAAAATTCACGCATTAAACATCTCTCAGGTTGATGTAGTCTTGTTGTAGGTCGCGAGTTGAAGCGGGTTGAAGAGATTTGCTAGTTATACAAATGGATTTTAATGGCTCTCCCAAGACTTCGATAAATGCCCGACAAACGCATTGGCGGCTTCACAATAAATCATATTTATTTAATTCTCTGACCAAGATTCTATCGTAATACATAATTATGTGCCGGCTACAATTGTTGCATAGTTACCTACTTCCTAGAAGGGAATTCGAAATTTCATTAGTTACGTATTCAGCGATACGCAGACACTTTAAGAATGCTTTTGCCATGATGCACCGCTATGATGCGATTGAATAGCTGTTCAGTAGACGGGCGGAAAGCGTGAGAACAAATCATTGCAAGTTTGCAATAATGCATCGTTTTTCTAGTTCATTTCTATTCATTTCCAGGTTATTTTTTGCGTATGTGAAATGAACTTCATGTGCTGGATACGTGTGCCTATACATATATATATATATATATATATATATTTCAAGTTTTCGAACAAATATGAACCAAAGGTAGTTAAGGTAGTTTTTTTTCATGTATATGTATGTAAAGGGATTTCAAAGTCGAATCTATGGACTGCTTACAAGAACACTTGTTGTACCTGTTGGTACCGAATGACGAGATGATTGCGACAATCAGACATTGTTTGTTGTTTTGCGGAAATTATATAGGCAGAATTTTTTACAGGCATTATCGTATCTAGGAATAAAATAGTCGTCTGACTTTCTGGCATACTTAACAAGATTTCACATTGTATCATATTCATGTTTCAATATAAGTTCCGTTAATCCTCTGATATCTCTCACTTGATACCTTGATTACCTTTTCAGCAATGTCTGATTTGATTTCGATGATCTTGCCGTCATACAAAGATACCCAAGATTCGCAAGATCTTCACGGGTATTACTTGCCATGATTCACCATTAAATCTACAATTATTTCCAAGCATATAATTGTCACTTTTCAAGTTATTCGTTATTCTTTACAAGTTATCTTCTTTTTAAGTCTTTCATGCAAGTTATTCTATTATATATAAATATGTGAATATGACTTGGATATATGAATATATTCACTGAATATCTGAAAGAATCTGCACTTAATAGTGAAAGATCGGGTAACATGCAAAGTAATTTATGATTTATTTTCGTTTCAAATTTATATCGAATTTAATATAAAAAAAAAAAAATGCCTTCTTCGCGATTTCCATTGAGAAATGCTTACTTAGTATCATAGCGCCGAAGAGCATCATACCGCTATCATCACAAATTTAATGAATTTAATTTTTTTCAATCAGAGCGACTCCATTGCTTCCCTTTCCTGTTTCCTTAGTTTTAAACATCACTTTTTGCTTCTTACAAGAATGGACTAAACCGTCCATTATTCATTAAAATCATAAAAGCCTCATTCATCCTCACACATCCATCAATATTAATGTGCACAAAATTTAATATATGAATGAACTGATTATCTTATCAATTTTGAGATGCTTTCCGTCCGTGCCATCTTATCAATAACATGCATACTTCATAGTGTACATCGTTTTTTGTATTATTTTTGTATTATTTTACTCTACGATCTTATAGCATCTTCTTCGCAATACGAAAATGTCGATAATGCAAACTCCGGGACAAGTCATGTTTATTACCATTACGATTATTGCTTTTTTTCGAGAACCGCATCATTACTCTTGGGTCGCAACTTATGTAGATTGTGTTTACCAAATCACCATATGCTCGACATATGTATGTCTGTACATGATAATGAATGGACGATCAAGTCATCCTGCATTGATATTTTTGCACCCAACAGCGAAGGATGAGTGATATATTCATTTTGTCGGAACGTTTGTGAAGACCCAGAAGAAAGCTTCCGAGAACCCTTAAAGTATATGGATCAGCATCAAATTTTAAAGTGATTAAAGCATGCCCATCTATCTGGCTACCTTTATAAAGTCTACGGTAATCATTCTCCGCATTGCACACATTGAAAATTCTTTCTCGCAGGTTGATATTGAAATTAGGCTAAAACGGCAAAGGAAACGCTCCCAATATATATATATAATATAACCTGGTCTTGGTTGGTGTTTTTTTTGGCTCATTACTCTTAAATCACAACAGATACAATGATAAAAATTGTATATTCTATAAGTGGTTCTACAGGACCTGCACAAAAGTGGAAAAAATCGGTCAAATTTAATTTTTATTTTATTGTAATGAAATTTAATTCTTTTGTCATAGGACTTGCAGCACCCACAACGAAGCTCGAGAGATTCTATAATCTCTATATATTGTTGATTAGTATAAAATCTGAAGCATTTTAGACAACTTTATCAGTTCGTCTTTTTATATGTCTACTAATTGCTGCTGTGGTACGCGTACTCATGATTGCAAAAGTAAAAGTCAAATTTTATTCGACACAAATGCAAAAAAACCAGCCACGCCCATCTAACGTTATAGTGTACGAAAATTTAGTTTTTCCCTTTTAACTGAATCTTTATTTTAGGATAACGGTAATGGGCAAAAAACATTCCATCGCCGTTCTCGCCGAATCGCTTATTATTGATCATAAGATCATGCTTTTGCATCATTGATTAAATCAAAAATGCTCTTCTTCGCTTAAGATTAATTCCATAAAAGTTCCCTTTTGCCATAATTTACTTCATCCGATATGCTGACTTTAATTTCACTTGAAAACATTTTAAAAACGTAGAGAGGCGCTTGCCATTACCTTTTGCGCTTATTTTCGGGAACGAATACATGTAAATATATATATATATATATATATATATATATGCCTATACCTTAACCTAACACTCAAGAAAACATTATGAAGCGGAAAGCGAGGAACGGCTTTCGGCCCGAATAGAATATGATATCATATATATACTTGCCAAATCTATGAGCATATGCATATATACATACATGCTAAGTTTATAGCGTATATTAATTGTTATTGGTTTTTCTAATAGGTAGTCTAGATGGCATGAGCATTATTTGACCAGCATTGATATCTTCGTGCAAAAGTACTATCTTTTAACTTTATTTCAACAGTACAGGTTGTTACATGTTATCTCGCACAGTTGTTCTCAACAAAATTCTTGCAAACCTTTGCATTGGATAATTGATGTTCCTAGAAAATAGCAAACGAATAACATTACTCTTGCTGGTTAAGTTGGAAAAAAGTTAGGGTGCAAGCGTGTCCTTCGACCGAATTCTTCACGCATTTTCAATATCAACAACTGCATGCAAGAACTTATGAATGTTTCCGCCAAATTTGAAGTCGATAGCCTCATTTTGGCGGCCAGGAGAGCGGACCTTGCATTGACGGACAGACGGATATGCGTAAATCGATTCAGAATTTGATGCTGCTCAAGAATACATCTACTTCATGGCGTCTCTAATGCTTAATTCAAGGCGTGGCAAACGTTTTCACAAAATGAAGGTAACCCTCATCGTTCGGTGACGAGTATAAAAACCGGTCATGACTTATTTTTATTCCTAGTATTTGAAATCGAAATACATATAGCAACCGCAAAAAAGACGAAATCTATTGTAATTTGAAAAATAAAAAAAAAAATAATAAAAATAATAATAATAATAATAAAAACGAAACAAAACCGTTCAGTTGACAATCAATCAAAAGAATCAATTAATATAGAAATACTTTGATGAAATTTGAAACAGAGAAGGTTAGCTATATCGAGAACATGATTGAGTATGAGACTGTACGAAAGTTATTCTATTTAGAATGATGCATGCATAAAAGTCCGATTCTGGCTTGTGAAGATCATTTTTTTTTTTTTTTTGTTAGCATTTCGATGCATGGGCTTTGGCAAGATAAGTAAATAAAAGATCTCCAGATGTTAAATTTCATTTGGAAAAATTGAATTGATCAATAGCAGTGAGGAGGTTATTAAATTGCAATATTCGTATACTTCCCATTATTTAGTCGGAATTTAATTACAAAATTTCTGCGATTAAGTTTTTAATATAAATAAAACTATAGATATTATTGCATTTTGTTATTATTCATTATAACAGAGCCTTCAAGAGAAGCATCAATTGGAAATAGCTAACCTTAAATATGAGAATGAATCATTGCGAAACCGTTTGCGTGACGTTGTCAATTCTCCGTTGTCCGATGCGGAAAAACATCAAATCATACAAGACTCGCAACGTTTACACAGTTCAGCTCCAGCTTCTATTGCATTGCCCAGTGTAAGTGTGTCGTTAGCGCTAATTAAGCTAATTAAAAAAAAAAATTAAAGAAATTAATTATAATATAATATATGCCTCGTTTCGCGCAGACCGCAGATAATGATGTTGGAGGAGTGGCTACTCCATGTCTTACACCCGATTGGGATAAACATTCGTCATCCAGTGAAATTTCTGTAGCTTGTCTACAGGATAAAATTATACAAATGGAAGAGACTCATTATTCGACAAACGAAGAATTGCAGGCCACTCTTCAGGAGCTAGCCGATCTTCAAGCTCAATTAAGTGATGCTCAGGCGGAAAATGAACGTTTAGCTGAAGAGAAAGACGTTTTATTTCAATCACTTTGCCGTCAAACTGAAAAACTTAATGAAACCCGTTCACAAATCAGCAACTTACAGGAATTATTGCTACGGGATGTTAAGCAGAATCCCACACCCGAAGTGGAAGGCAGTTGCGAACGTGAGAAGAAACTTTTAGATTTAATTAAGGGAGCCCAAGATGAACGTGAGGCTGTGTTAGTAAAGCAAGAAGAACTTAATGCTGAATTACAAGAATTGCGGCAGAGCAATGAAGTGGCTGCTGGCGAGAATTCCCGTTTGCGAGAACGCATTTCACTTTTAGAATCAACGGTAGATGCTGAACATGCTCAACGCAAACAAATGGAATCTCAAATATTGGCAGCGAAAGAAGAAATATCGCAGCGACTTATCGAAATTAATCGTTTATCGACTTTATTAGAAAATGCCAAAGCTAAAATTGAAGAACTAGAGCAAGATTTAGCTCGTGGGGACAAAACAGATCTCAGTCAACTATTAGATGCGGCACGCAAAGAGAAGGACTCTTTAGAAGAGAAATTAGCTGGGCTGCAAGAGCAATTATCCCGTAGCCAGGCCGAAATTCGGCGTCTAAAAGATCAACTCGCCGATGTTACCGAAGAGCTAAAAGTTTCCAAAAATAATGCCAAATGTGCCGTTTCTCACCTTGAATATCGTTTAGAGCAATTGCAACAGGACAAGGATAAACTTTCCGCTGAACATCAACAATTATGTGAAAGTACCGCCGAACTGCAGGTGCAATGTAAATGCCATCTCGAGGATAAAACACAATTGCAAACCCTATTGGCTGAAACGCAGAAACATTTAAGTGATGCCGAACGTAAACTTGGCGAAACGCAAAAACAATTAGATGAAGTACAAGAATTACGCAAACAAGAAGCGGAGGAATGGCAACAATTTCAATCAGATCTATTAATGACGGTACGTGTAGCGAATGACTTCAAGACCGAAGCCCTAACTGCGCGAGAACAACTAATATTGGATAATAAAACGCAAAAGGAAAAGATACGTATGCTTGAGCAGCAAATTGATAAATTAACCAAACAACGTAAGTGAAATATTACATATATAATTATTATTATTATTATTATACCCACTGTTGGAAGATGGCGGTAAACTCATTTTCAGACAGATTTTCCATAATGTATGTAACACGAAAAAGGAATGTTCAAAGACTCTACAAAGTATATATTTCTCGATCAGCGTGAAATCCTGAGTTGATTTAACCATGTCTGTCCGTCCGTTTGTGTGGTATATGTTGTTGGCACTCCCCTGATCGCATAAATGAAGATATCAACTTCAACATTGGAAGTTTCCGCAACGAAGGTTACTATTGAAATTGGTCCAAATTGGTCAGAGCAGAAGCCCACATTGGAGCGTAAACTGAACACAACTCCGTTCTTCTTATGAAAAATTTGTGGATTTTTTGCTCGTTAGTTGGAAATTATAAAAGTTAGAAAGCTGAAACTTGCCAAACATTTACTTTACGAATCGGCCATGCCCACCCAAAACTACAATTAATTAAATTTAATTTTTTTCACTTTCTTGAGATTTTATGCCTATTTGTCATAACGCAAACAAGACAGAATGTTTAAAACTATTTTGGTATTTGCCTCAAATGAGGATAAATTATCCTAACCTAAAACTGGATTCACTGCAAATTGAATATGATAGACATTGCGATTAATTTTTTCTTAATAATACCAACGGATATATGGAGGTTATTAAATCAAAGAATTTGAAGAGTAGAATGCGAAAAGCCTAGTGGTGGATATGCGATATTCGTCCACCGACTGAATACAACTTTCTTACTTACTGTTTTTTTTTTTTTCAATAGGATTTTTTCAAAAAATGTGATTCAAAACAGTATAGTTGGACAAGGCTGACCACTAAATATTCTACCACACTTCACTTGTAGGAAATTTAATGTTCTTATCAAAGGTCTTATTACTTTTTACCTACGAGTTTCGTCATAGAGTAGTAAAAATTAGATTTTGTCGCCGCAAAAAAAAAAAAGTTGCACTTTTCTTATATAGAAACGATCATATATATGCGAGTGGATTCAATGTATTTAACCATCCGATTGAAATACTTCACGTCAATATATTATGCGGAAATAGTATCACTCAGCGAATTGTATCTACATATTTTGAAAATTGTATATCTATTTTTTTATATAAGAACTTTTTCAATATAAATTTTTTATTCATATCAATTATATTGAAAATTGCACGAAAAACTTTCGAAATGCCTAATTAATAGTTGTGTTGAAAATTTGCGAACTGTAGATTGAACATGAAAATGCATAAATAAATATAAGACAGACGGACAGATAGATAAGATTAAATTGATTCAGAAAACGATTATCTAAATCGATTATCGTAAGATAAGGTTATCTTAAACTTTTCTAGTTATTACATATATATATCTATACCTGCGCGAACTTAATGTGGACTATACCGGCGGTAGTGGCGTTTATCTCAAGAAATGAGTAAAATGAGAGCAAGTGGTTGTAGGAAATATCAATTATCGTTTCGTTTTCTATTTATTCTCTATTTGTGCTATCTATTTATTTTTAGAACAACAACAAAACGAAACTCAACAATCGGTTTTAAGTACGGTGCAACAAGAAATGGCATCTAGACGCAGCAAATTAGGCAGCTTTTCTAGGCAAGACTCTCGATTATCGGTGAAAACCTTAATCGAAAGCATAGAAAATAATAAACAGGTAAAGCGAAAACCAAAAAACTTGTCAAATTGATCTCGAAATAAAATACAAAAAAAAAAAAAAATAAAAAAATAAATAAATAAATAAATTTTTATAACGTAGACTAAAACTGAAGAGCCAACGGAATCGCGTTATAGTTCATCCTCGAGCCTGAACAGCGGTACACCAGATGTCACACCGGGCTCAATAACAACAAATAATAGTAGTAATAATACTAATGAATGGACCGAAAGTGTAGGTCAAAATGTGATGAATAATTGTTTTTGTTTTTGTGTTTTTTTTTTTTTTTTTTGTAACTTTTGTGTAATGAAAATGCTTTCAATATCAGGTCAACCAACGTCTGAATCCATTAATAGGCAGCTTAAATAATGCAACAACAGCAACAACGACAGCTACAACTAATACTACGCAATCTCAAGCAGCTACGGCCACAAATTTAGTAGTTAATCCATTACAAACCGCAACTAAAGGACCATTGAGAGAACAACAGCAGCAACAGTCGGCTTTAGTCACTAATATACATATAAGCAGTTTGAATAATGTTGTAACCAAATCTATGCTAAGCGGTAAGTAGTAAATCAATTTCATAGTAAAATATAATTTATACTGATTATGCGTTTGCGTTATCTTTTGCAATTTAAACGTAAAGGTGAACGTAAGGATCCGTTAAATATGTTAGCTAAAAATGGTGGCTCCAAACGCAATGCTTTATTGAAGTGGTGTCAAAATAAGACAGTAGGTTATCGAAATATCGATATTACCAATTTCAGTTCATCCTGGAACGATGGTTTAGCATTTTGTGCAATTTTACATTCCTATCTGCCGGATCGCATTCCCTATGATACTCTAAGTCCGGCAAATAAGAGACGCAATTTCTCTTTGGCATTTGCAGCTGCGGAATCGGTGGGCATATCCACCACATTGGTAGGTCCACGTCAGAATAAATATCTCAAATTAATTGATTAAACTTAATAATCTCTCATGCAGAATATAAATGACATGTGTCAAATTGAACGTCCCGATTGGACACAGGTGATGTCATATGTGACAGCTATTTACAAGCATTTCGAAACTTAAAATTTTCTTTCCTTTCTTAATATTTTTGTCTTTCTTTTTTTTTTTTTTAGTATTTATTATTTATTATTTGTTTTTAATTTTGCAAAACCTTGCCTCTAATTACAATCAGACAAAAACCCTACCAAAAAGCGAATAACTTACAATCATTTCGTAAAATGTTGATATCTTTAGCACTATTTACAACCATTTTTAGATCGTAAGCAATACCTATTAAAAATAGACCTCGACTGATTTGACTATGTGCTTCGTGACACGCTATTCGTCACGTTGCTTTTAATTATATGGAACGGCTTGAAAACGTGAATAAAATGGAATCTCGATTCAAAATGCGGTTTTTAGAAAAATGAACCAACCAATTAGATTACTTCTGTCTCAAGGTAATATATTCTGTTACTGATGATATTGTAACAACAATTTATTATAAATTTTTCACAAACACATTCTCTATCCAGAGTATCTGATGCCCAATCTGCTACAGTTTCTCAATTAAGTCTTTTTAATAAATTTCAACTTCAAGATTTTCAAACATTTTAAATATCGGAAATAGAAATGTTTTGATATATTGACGTGCAAGCATAGACCCTTGCTCTTACCCCTTCGGTGATCGGACAAGATGATATCATTCTATTCTAACCTTAAAAATTGTTGTTAGGTTTCATCTTTGTCACAGTCTTCGATCTAATAAATTCCATAGAATTTGTCATGCTAGCAATTGGGCCCCTGGGCCAACTATGACACCACATAACGCTGAACAAATAACGTCTCTTAAGTTCACCATGTAAACGGGTTGTTGTTTTTAAGTCAAGCTTACAAAGTGGATATCCTCTACGAATGAATCTGCACTGGTATCGGAATCGCTTTGGCTGCCGGTATATTCGTGGGTGTATACGTCGTCTTCCAGCAGCCAATAACTTATCTTTTTAGAAATTCTTTTAACTACTAATCAGTCGTAATATATTTGGGAAGAATTTCGCAAAAAAAAAAAAAAAAAGGAAAATTTTATACTCATCTAAACAAACACACAAAAGTGAAGAATTATAGAAAAAGAAAAAAACAAAATAATGAAGAACGAAAAAACCATTTTAAAGTGAACGTGGAAAATTAAATTGTAAACGAAGTGACAAACTGGCATCACATTTGTTTTGAGTCTGATCAATAAAATATATCGGACTTCATGGCCGGATATACAAATTCAGTTTGAAAATCTATAATAGAACTTTCTCGTTAGTTCAAGTATTCGGTGATTTTTTTCTCCTTCTTTGCGAATATTTAATCTTCATCTTTATAAATAGGTTCAGTAACAAACTTGAAATTTTGCAATTCCACCAACGCAGAATCTCTAACATCTCCCACGTGTTGCTCGCGTCTCGTGGGTTCTACAACGTTGTAAATATTTCCAATTTTGTAAGGAAAACCACATGCACCAAATTAAATATCGATTCCTTACTATGATAATCGTATTCTAAATCTCGTCAGAGAGACATCAGAGAGACAAGGTAGTTTTTTCTTATTGTTAAATTGATGCAAACTCAAGAAAACCTATAATAAGAAATAAACTATTATTTTTTGTCATGACTAGTGAGTGTTCGGTCACGACACTACAATACATTTCTTAATGTCCCAGTAACGTTAGTTAATCAATTATTATCGCTTTGATGCTTCTACCATCTAACTTTTTTCTTCTTCTTGTCGACAAAAAAAAAAAAAAAAAAGAGAAAAAATCGCCAAGTAATTGTGTAACGACACTCTAAAATGATATGAAAAATGTAGGTCGGATTTGTCAGTGTTTTGAACACTTTTCTTTTATACAACCGTTCTTCGTGAACGGTAAGCCTCTAAATAGCAAGATGGTCCAAATTTTTAATGCTTCACTTCTACTTTGGACCATGTAGCTAATACTAATAATAATATACTTTATTGACGTCAAGTGCAAAATATTTTTTTGGTTTCAAAACAAAAAAAGATTCTCCCTCTGTGTTTATCCATTAATGCATCAACTTTTTTTTTTATTTCACTTTATTTTTCATATATATTTCAGTTTTCATGATTTAATTTCTTTCATTATTGAATCTTGGATTCTGTTATTTTTTGCGCGACGATAGCACGCACAATTATCTTTTAAATCTAAATCATTAAAAACATTTGTCAGAGTGATTTCACGCCACCTAATCATTAATTCCATTACTCTCTGCAGAACATTCTGCATAAAGGGATTCAATTCTTTTCAATGTTCAGTGTGGATCATATGATGCAGAATCTAATTTGAATGTGATTTGCTCGCTTTTGACTGTACGTGCTTCACTCTGACACCAATTGCTCGCATTTTGCTTTTTTAATTTTTCATACTTGAAAAAGTCCTTTTGTTTGTTCGGAAATTGAAAGCCTCTCTTGATGTTAAATAATTGAGTAGAAGTATATGAGGTTCTTCTGATCTTCCTTGCATTACTACTTAGTCGATGTAGTGATGTAGTAATTGATTCTCAGAACTAACTTTTTCGTGTGAATACCTTTCTCCACATTTCTCTTGCTGTTTTTCCTTATCCCGAGCACTTTGCAAATAATCAGAATATACAATTTTGCCCCTAGCTTTTTTTATTCTTCTTCAAGAATACGCACCGTTTTCCCCTCATCTTTCAGACGATCGTTAAAGGTTAAAATGCCCATCAAACTCAGTGAAATTAAGTAGATACTTACCTGGAATTGCCATTCATTAAATCGTTCTCCATTAAATTTGAGGGAAATTTCATGAGCTCTTCACACTATCGCTTATATAAGTGATAATGAACAAGTGAAAACATTATATCAACACTATAATATATTGAATACCTTACATCACCCTACAGCTATTATTTACATCGTGAATTTCGAAAATAAGGCCTTATATGAGGAAATGGTCGAAAATGTAATGCGATCCAAATCAATTGCAATAGCGTTTGTCCTTGGGCCGAAACACGTAAGTGGACCATATTTCATCAAAATATCTCAAAAATTGCTGCCTGTAGGATGAATGAATATACAAAAACAGGACAGACAAACAGACCGGCAGACAGAATCACTTTCTGATGCGATCGCTGTAATAAACGGAATGCCTATCTCAAGTCCTTGTGGGTGTTGCATACATTCGCACAAAGTTAGTATACTCTTTTTTTTACAATAAGCGGTGTAGGGTGTATAAAAAGTTCAGAAGAAAAGTGCTTGATTAATGATGATTTAGAAAAATGTAGGAGAGGAAATTTTGCAAGGAAAAAAAAACTGAACGCAAAACATTCGCAAATTCATTTAAGAAGCAATTTTTCTTTTTATATAAATTTGCAATCAGATGTCGGATGTTCCTTAAACGATGTATGATTTCAAATTTCGAATCTTTCGTATGAAAAAAGATTTCTGAAAAATTACCTTCAAATCAAGACCTTTAGAGTAACTAGAGTATCTTTTCTAAACCGGTTTTTTTTAAAAACTCGTCAATTGCAAATTTTTAATAAATTTCAGCGAAAGCCTGACTTCGTCTCCCTTTACTTACAATTTTTTGTTTTTAATTCCTTCTTTTTTTTTTCTTTCTTTTCATCAAAACTTCTGCCAAGAGTCAGATATTAAGTGTTAAGTACAAAGTAGATAGCGATTTATCCTAAAATGCAATTTTCTAGCTGTAGAGTTCGGATATTTGGAATCGAAAGCAACGACTTCAATGAAAGACGGACTTGTTAATTAGGTTGTGGTGTCGTAATTAAGTTTAGTTTTTGAGTCAACTAATCAATATTCTGTTGGCCGATCATATTATTTTTTTCTTTTTTATATATGTTATGTGCACAGATAAAAGGTTGGAGTTTATGTAAGGATGACCGGCTTCCATTTTCATAAGATTTATTTTTTTTTTATCGGATCAAAGGGATGATTATATTATATTTATGCAAATTTTGTCCAGAATCTGGCGTGATTAGTGAGATCGGTTTGATAATTTCATCGATTATCCGTCTACCTGTTTTGTTTGTCTATTAAAAGCAGTTAAGTTCTCTATTACGAAATATAGCCTAATTTCGAAAATTAATGAAATCGGTCGTTACTAAAAAAAGTGATTATCTTTTTTTTCTTCTCTCCATATTAGAGAAGCGAATTCAAAATTGTTGAAATTGAATTAATATATAAGAATTTTAACTTGAATCTCATATATAGGTCGTCTTTATCTAATAATTTCTTTGCGCATAGTTTGGAAATTACCTAAAAGCCGGTTTCGAGCATCATCAATATATGATCAGTATATTGAAGCAATGGATTTCCGCTATATCTTGAAATTAAACATACAGGCTAATTATATACGAGATGCATTTTCATCTTCTTGTACTGTATTCTACACCCATTTGCGGTTTGTTAGAGAATTGTTTAATTAAAGGGACGTGTATCCTTGACTTCTGAAGTCTGCTAATGTATTTTTGTGTGTCAAGAGTTTTCCACATACTTTGATAAAACTTAATGCATCGGCATGTTTTGAATCAAGAATGAAATTTTATAAAAATTCAGATCGTTTTGGACCATTTCTACGACAACTACCCCATATAGCGTCCATTCGTCCCAAAAAGAATTTCCTATTTTCAACATTTCTCTACAACAATCAAAATTTTGATAGGAATGCGTCACCGACACTATTTAATAATATATAATTTTTCGACAAAGATACGCGTAGTATTATATTAGGGATGCTGCTGTAGGGAGTTTTGTTTCTCTTTAAAATAATTCTGGGGAAGAGAGACGAACGTGATGGCGAAGAATATAAGTTTAAAAAAACTCGATCTTGCTTTTCTTCTTCGCGATCGCATTCTTAACTACGTCAGATTTCTACGGTATTATGTATTATGGTCGATTCTAGTCGACTTAAAAGAAACACTTTTGTATATTGTTGTTTTAAATTTAATTTATTTTATATATATATATATATATTTTTTTTTTTGTTTTTCATAATTCTAAACCAAAAAATACATTTATAAACAAACATTTTCCCACTAATATATTTGCTTAGATTATTTTCTTTCATTTTTCAAATTATTTTTATATATTTTACATTATACTATTATCATTTATTATTTAAAATTCAAAACTGATTACAGAAAGTGTACATAGATGATAAGTTTTTAATCATAAAATTATATATATTATAAAAATGGAATAAAAAACAAATTAATTTATTTTTTATATAAAAAAAATAATAAAACAAATTCAATGTCTACTTCTCCTCCTCTCTTTGCACTTTCAAACAAAATATAAAAAAACCAAATAAAACAAATATAAAAATATTAGCATTGTGCTAGCCTACAGTTCATTCGATTAAACCCCAGATTAGTGTTCTGTGTCATCAGATAGCAACAACAAATATGGGTAAGAATAATATTTTTGTTTTAACGAAAAAATTGTTCACATAAAACATTTTATGGGGCACACACATTTTTAAAATGGGGCAAATATTATATTTTTACTTAGAAATTAAATAAAGTTTTTATTTAAAATACTTGTTGTATTACATAAAATTTCGGTCGGTAATTTTTTACATACATTTATTTTTTAATATTTTTCTTTTAAATTAATACATATATAATATCATCGAATATATCTCATCAATGTATCCCCTTTAATAAGGCTGTTTATCGAATTTACTGTTTTACTATATCATATCTATTATATGATAATGATAGTCAAAAAAGTTATATGCACTGTAGCTATAAAAATTAGTTTTTGCAACAAAATTAAAAATTTTTTTTTTATGCGATAAATAGGCACCGGGCAAAAACAGATTTGGGTGTATGTGGCAAAATGAACACATTCAACATCGGCTTATTAAGTAAAAACTGAATAAAAAAAACATATGAAAAATCTTCCTGATTTGCTGTATTTTGTGTTAAAAAATGTACAATTTTTCGACATCGAGTTTCAAATCTTAGTGTGGTAGAGTTTACTTTCGTCGTAGTAATGCTTAGTTGCATAACACTTACACGATTGTGTATACATAACCACTATACTGGCTTATCTCTTTC